TCCAAGCTCCAGAAAGTAAGTAGAGTCCGATGCGCCGACGTTAGCGAGCAGTACTGTGCGCTTTCATTGGTCAATGAAGTCTGGCATTAAAAGGTTCTAAAAAGAGATTGGTTACATACGCGGAAGGCTTTATGGGAGCGTGTCATTGTAGTTTATTACAAATTCTGTAACCGAGCATTGAACCGGTTTACATACTACAACTCCCAACTACCATTGGCCTTCACAACGCGATCTGTCAAGCACTAGGCTACGGAAGGTCAGACGCGTGGTTAAAAGCATTAGTTGTTGTTTTGAGGCCAAAAGAGAAATCTGTAAACGGATATTAACATCTCTTTGCTATTATATTGAATTTTTCTAAACAAAATCACGGAAGGTCAGACGCGTGGTTAAAAGCAATTTTTCTAAACAAAATCGTGCATTCAGTGAATTAACGAAGTACAGTAGCTAAATAGAGGCAGCATAGCTTCCTGTCCACTAGCTTTTATTTAGAAAAAAAAGCGAAAATTTCTACCGCAATGCTCAAGAGCCTCTTTAGACTTCAGAGTCATTGTCTCAGTAGGATAAACCCTACAGCTCAGAAGTCATGGTTTCATCTAAAATACTCCACAGCAGCGGCAGCAGGTAAGAGATTTATGCATATGCTTGCACGTGGGATCACAATGTTTGTATACCTGCCCACTTAAAGAAAACTGCGTTATTTAGTTTATTCTATTTATATATGTTTTATGTTATCCTGTATATTAAAACATGAAATTCCATTTTTATTTGTGTTTTAAATTGATTGTTCTAGCTCTAATGCTGCTAATTTGAAAAGTTGCAAAACAGCTTGTCATTGTTTACGCTGACTTGATGTTTTTTTTTTCTGTTACCAGAGAGAAAAAGGTTTTATCAAGATGTCAGCATCACTCAAGGGGAAGGTAGGTGCCAAGAATCATCTGTAACAGATGAACTGCTGCTTACAGTGGTGGGCAAAAGCCAAATCACATCCATAATGTTGCATTATGGACACACCTCTTTCAAGATTTGTGTATCTTCAACTTCTTCCTCTTTTTCATACACGTCTATCAAGATTTGTGTATCTTTAACTTCTTCCTCCTTTTCATCAATACTGTTTGTCTTTTCCGGTGAGTCAAAATTGTTAGACTCCATAATCTTAATGTTCTCCCCCTATTGCTGTCTGTATTTAAGTGGTGTCTGCTAGTTGGCTGTTGGCTGCAATAATGTAAAACTGGTTCTTTCTTCACCAGTTTGAATGTCTATCAAAGGACTAAAGCCAATCAGCAAGTTTGAATCTTCTTGTTTCTGACAGAATGGTTCTTGGCATAATTTACAACCATTTGTACTTCATGCCTGTCTTGTATAGGTGGTTTATATGAGATCAATCTAGACAGACGGAAACTGAAAACCCCTGGAGGGAAACTCTTCACTGTTCCAAATGAAGCCCTGGCTATAGCTGTGGCAACTGAGTGGGGAGCTCAAAGAGAGACACTCAAGTTCTACACCATGCACCTGGTACAAAGATCTTTGCATGAGTTATTTTTCTGAAGAGAATGTGCAGGACAGAGGCAACTAATTTGATGGAAAAATGCTGTTTGTCCATATTTTACTGTATATCTACAGTTGAATCTGCAAGTGTTTCAATAGACTTAGTTATATGTAAACTCGAACATTGATCTAATAATAGATTATTTATACAATTTGTCTGCAGACAACACTGTGCAACACAGTTTTGGACAATCCAACCCAGAGGAACGAAGAGCAGATGATCAATGCTGCACTGAAGTTCCTGGAGACTGACACTGTCTGGTAAAAGCTGCTGGGATGTGTAGAAATTTCCTGAAGCACTTGTACATAATTTCAGTTACAGATACTTGTATTTGTGGTCATAGTGTGTTTGTTTTCTGTGCAGTTACAGAGTAGATGAACCACAAGCATTGGTTGAGCTACAGATGAATGAGTGGGATCCAGTGCTGAGCTGGATTGAAAACAGGTGTTTTAAACTTTTCGTTGACAACTGAGCATTACTGTTGCAATACCATACGTACCTTTTATAACAGCACCCACATTAAAGTCAAAACCTTCACTTTTAAGCTAAGACCAGGATATGAAAAAGGTAATTTGTTGCTAATAAGAATATTTGGACTGTCACTTGGCCAAAGACAGTGTATAAGGAAAAAATAAATATATAAACCTCAAAAGCCACTAGAGGGAGCCCTGGTACTACCAGCAGTGTACCATAGTTTGGGCATCACTGTTTTAAAGTGAGGACAAGATATCATGCCTTTTGTTAACTGTATGAAATTCTCACTATTCTTTGGTAGATACAATGTTGTTATTGGCTCATCATCCAGTATTTTGGGTCCAGAGATCCCCCAAGCAACCAAAGACACATTCAGACAACACCTAAAGTCATACAACTTCTGGTCCCTCACAGGTAAGATATTTTAGGACCAGCATTGATACTTCTTAAAACCAGACCTTACATTTTTAATGTTGTGTTTTAAAGACAGCTGCTCCAAATGTTGTTGTGTTTTGTCTTTCTGTGCAGGACTGGAATATGTGATCGTTTTAAAGACAGCTGCTCCAAATGTTGTGTTTTGTCTTCCTGTGCAGGACTGGAATATGTGATCACACAGCTGAAGTCTGTCGTTCTGTCCATGGCCATGATTGACAGACACCTAAGTGTGGAACAGGCTGTGTTTCTCTCCAGACTGGAGGAAGAATATCAGGTCAGGAAGAAGGGGTTTTCACACCTACTTTTGAGTACTTATTGTTTTGTATTGCTACTGCATTTTGCAATTTTACAGCGTCACTATGCCCTAGATCTGTTATTGCTGATCTGACAATTAGAAATGGGGCTGGACTAAGATAAGGTTTTTAGTCAAATGGTAACGATAAGAGTGGAGAAAATGTACATGAGGATGGTGCAGGATGTGTATAAAGAGAGGAAGGAAAAAAAATGGTAAGGTGGGCATTCAGATTGTGACAAGACTCGACGGAACACTTTCTTTTATCCTTCACAGATTCAGAGCTGGGGAAACGTAGAGTGGGCCCACGACTATGACATGTATGAGCTAAGGGCACGGACAGCAGCCGGAGCTCTGTTTGTTCAACTGTCATCCGAGATCTCAACGGTCAAAAAAAAACTTCTGCAGGACTAAACCTACCAGAATATCCATCCTCAAACTGAAAAGACATTGATTGCAGATGATTTTAGTCATCCGGTTTGCTCTCATTAACAGCAAGCCAGCTGCCAGGAGTGACTACCCTTACAGTTAGTTTCTTCTCTGTCATCTGTGATCATTTGGCCGCTGGTAATGACTGTTTCTGGTTAATGGTAGAATCTTTATTCCATTTCCAATTTTGTGCGTATCGAGATTTCCCGAATAATAACTACCACCATTCATTGCTGACTGTTGTGTGAATGTGACTCATTTTAAATAAAATGTCACGATTGTCATAAAAAATGGGTGTAAGTCATAAATTAACTGAATTAAAGTGCAGTATGCCAAATCTTCAACAGGATATATACGAGTTAACTTTTGTTCGTTTCAGAGTAAATAGGGATAGAAAGTTAGCTGAAATTATTGTCACATACAATCCAAGCCAGGCCAGACATTTTCACAGTTCTGTCTGCCTACATTATCTCACATTAGCAGCCTTGGTCACAGTCATAAAACAGTCATTTCTGGTTCGAGGACGTCACCGTTGGTTCCTATTTATTTACAATCGCCCCAAGCGTGATGGCTGTCGTGGCTGTCCAATAGTGTTAGAGGTCGGGACTTGTGGACCAATGATGTTGTACCGAGGGCGGGCTTTATTTGACGTTTCCTCGTGTATGCTCCACCTCATCATCCTCCTCATTCCATGGACTGACTTGTTTGTTGTCGAGCAAGATGGAGTTCCTTCTAGGAAATCCTTACACTACTCCAGTGGGACACTGCATTGGTACGTAATCATAAATGTCGGGCAATTTTTAATTGTTTAATTGGAGTACTTTATCCGGAAATGCTGTTTTTTTTCAATCAATGGTCGTTTTGCAGTTGTGTTAGCATTAGCATGCTAACGTCTCTGAATGAGTTGACAACAGCTGGAAAGAAGCCGCTAGCTTCAAAAGCTAACTCGTATCTGACATTTTTGACCTATATTCAACTCCGTCATTTATTTATGTAGCTGCCAATTGCTTTGACAGAAACTGTTACTGCACTGTCTTAAAGGTTTTCTAATGATTAAGTGCGCTAAGAGCTAACCAGCCAACAGTCGTCGTCGCTCAGCTGGACTGTCACACCTGCTTTTATAGCTAATTCTCACAGCATCTTTGTGTGACATTTCTGTCTCTGTAGAAAGAGCCACAGATGGCTCCCTGCAAAGTGAAGACTGGACCCTCAACATGGAGATATGTGACATCATCAATGAAACCGAGGATGGGTGAGTTTGCAGAAAATTAAGAGATAAATCAGACTCTGCACCATTGTCCAATCGTTTGTGGTGGTTAAATTAGTTTAACGTGGGACATGGATGAATATCCAATGAGATTTTAACAGGCTACAATAGGTAAGCTGTCTTCTTCATGTATTTTTTTTTTTTTTTTTACTCTTAATCTTTCTGGTTGGAAGCGTTTACCAGTGGGAAAACTCACACAGTGGTAGTAATGTAGTGAGGGGTCAGAGGAGGGTCAGCACAGGCAGATAGACATAGTTTGAAGTGATATATTTCTTAGTAATACCTTTTTCTATCTGTCCTTCGCATGAAGTTAAAAAAAAGTGTCACCTTCCGTCCCTGGTACTGTTATGTGATAGCTTACTTTACAGTTAAACCATGTTGGAAATGTTATGCAGTAACACTATGTTAACATTGTCTTCTATTTCTGTGTTCTATTTTCATAATGCATTTCTGCAGCACATTATAACACTGTTGTTTGAGCCAGGCTCTGAATAAAGGTGGATCAAGGCAGTAGCACTTAGCTTAGCCTAGCTTTGCTTATCTCCCTGCTCCATCAACCTTGTTGAAGTTGGTGTGTGAAGTCCAGGTTTTGTTTGATTAGAAGGTTGTAAACAGGGATTTGTTGCTAAGTGCGATGCAAGTCGTCTGACTGGGACTTGTCCCAGAGGTATGAGAGGACTGTCACGCCCATTACAGCTATGCTGATGTTGGGGCACAGAAGAATAAATCAACAAAAGTTAATTATTCTCACCCTGTACCTGCCCCAGCCATGGCTTTTACCCAGAGAATGTGAGAACAACACAATCATTGGCATATGGTGAGATGTGGTAATCAGCCTGGTAATCAGCAGGCCTCTTAAAGTAACATGCAGAAATGGTCTTTAATTTGATCAGCTAAAACAGTTTTTTAAAGGTAGTTTAAAAGAAACATATTATAACTCTGCATTGTGGTCTATCTTTAGCTAACTCATCATTAAAAAAAGATGATCTTTTTATTTTCTTAGTTGGTTCTGCCTTGGCTCTGTAAAGTGGGTCATCCTTTACCTAGAAGATCGTTGGGTCACTGTCTCCAGGTCTTCGTCCATGACTAGAATGCACACCTCTGTGGCATTTGCACCTGCTTCTCTCTATAATTCTTTGGCCACAATTTGCAGATTTTATGAAGGACATTTAAAGCAATGGGAAATCCTGGTGCAGCGATGATGCTGTCAAAAAGTCAGGTTCAATGTCTACATCTGTGTGTGCAGACCAAAAGATGCCATCAGAGCAGTGAAGAAGAGACTGAATGGCAACAGGAACTACAGAGAAGTGATGTTTGCTCTAACGGTGAGTTCTTGTTCCACAGGAAAAAGGAGGTGTTTCTTCTTTTTCCAAGGTAAAATATTAAAACATTTTTTGCATTGTTGAATTCTCTCATTGCTACAAACATACAAATAAGTCACGGGTGGGCGACCACCGACTTGGTGATCCAGAACTTTCTCTCTGCTCAGTTTGGTTTGCAAAACTCACGGGTTTAAGGTTTAAAGTTTTACATCGCATGTCCTAAAGATTCCTCCTCATCTTCCCGAAGGTCCTGGAAACCTGTGTTAAGAACTGTGGACATCGATTCCACGCCTTAGTCACAAGCAGGGACTTTGTGGACGGTGTCCTCGTCAAAATCATCTCTCCGAAAAACAACCCACCAACAATCGTTCAAGACAAAGTACTTGCATTGATTCAGGTAGGATAAAGTTCAAATTAAAACTTGCATTAGCAACAAATCAGAAAGAAAGGTTAAATGTATCCAACAAAATACCATTCTCGCATATATTAATATCATAAAAGTAGGAAACAAAGCTCAAAGTTAAATTCTTCCAAAAAGCCTCCAGGATAGATTTAGGATCTGAAGGTTTAATCAGAATTGGTAAATAAAATTAACTAATTCATATACATAAACAGACATGTTTGTCTCAAATCCTGACTTATTCTAACTCTATCCAAGAGAGTGGATAAAGACTGCAGGATGCTGGGAGAGTTTGAACATTCTACTTGAAAAGACCTTGAATTTGACTTTGTTGTTAAAAACATTTCTTCTTCTTTTTCTTTCGGCTTTGTCCCTTTTTCTGGGGTTGCCACAGCAAATCATTGATTTCCATCTTTGCATTGTTAAAAACATTTGTTTTTGCATTTTTCTTCTCTATGCCTTGTTTTCATGTTTGTTTTTTTCACTGTTGGACATGGGGAGTGGACCTTGGCAGGAGTTTTTGATTTTATTGTTCAGTGTATTCAGGTTGTTTATTATTAAAAGTGCAGATGGAGGGCTTTCATCCTCTGGTACAGTGTTTCCAGTGACATCAGCTCCAGTTTCTTGCTGGTACAGCTCATGTTACATCCAAGGCTCATGTGGCTGCTCTTCTTCCCCTGAGGGGAAACATATCACCACAGTCAAGGCATGGCATCACATCAGAGAGAAGGGTTTTAGAATCCCAAGTGTTTTTGTTCTTGGAGTCGAGCAGCAGTATCATTTGTTTTACTGCTCACCTTGGAGACAAATTTAAATTATCATTGTCAAGGTCTTTTATATATTTTGACACGTTTGCATTATTTCCATTGTCTGCGCTTGCTCACTCTTATTTAATCTGTTTCTTTCCTTTGTTTTCTCCAGGCCTGGGCTGATGCGTTCAGGAGCAGTCCAGATCTCACAGGAGTGGTTCAGATCTATGAGGAAATGAAGAGAAAAGGTATCGAGTTCCCCATGTCAGACCTAGAGACCCTGTCACCTATACACACGCCGCAGAGGGTGAGGAGAACGCTGTGTCTACTGCAGCAGCTCAGAAGATGACACCCAAAGTCTGTAATAACCTGTCAGGTGTCTTGTCTGTTTCCTCCAGTCTGCATCTGCTCCCGAGGGTGACTCTACCTTACAGAAGTTCAGTACGAGCCCTCAGCCCCCACCCCAGTCTGTCCCACCAGCCTATCCTGACGCCCAGGTGCCCAACATTAATGCCTCTGGATCCATTAACCCCACAGCTGAACAGGTATAAGAACCACTCCACAAATGAGACAGTCTGACTGTCCGTCAGATCTTAACACTTTATAACATCATAATCTCAACACCAGTTTTTTTGACTCACAGCTGATAGCATTTATCTCTCTGTGATCTAGATCTGCCGTCTGCGCAGCGAGTTGGACGTTGTCCGTGGTAACACCAAGGTGATGTCGGAGATGTTGACGGAGATGGTGCCAGGTCAGGAGGACGCATCAGACTATGAGTTGTTACAGGCAAGTATTTCTCTGTTGTCCCATGTTGAAGTAGAGGTATGAGGAATGGGTCCACACCAAAGAGGGTGGTAAAGAAAAAGTTCATGCACCACTGCTAAGACGTAGCACTGACTGCTAGAGGTTAGCTTTAAAGTATACAAAGTTAACAAAGAGATGGTTTTAAGTTAGCAGAATAAAAGTGTTTCGAGGGGGGGAGGTCCATTAAATTTCTATAAATGTTTGTCTCTGTGTTTGTGTCGGTCCAAATGTCAGGAGCTGAACAGGACGTGCAGAGCGATGCAGCAGAGAATAGTGGAGCTCATTTCCTGTGTTTCCAACGAGTCTGTGACCGAGGAGCTGCTGCACGTCAACGACGACCTCAACAACATTTTCTTGCGCTACGAAAGGTGACAAACACAAGGATACAAACTCTGGATCTGGATCATCAAAAGGAGAACATGTAGTGACGGTGTCGTTGACTCTCCTCAGGTACGAGAGGTTCAGGTCTGGAAGATCTTCATCTCAGACTGTCAACAACGGGGTGAGTCTGAAACGCTCACATGCACGCTCTGTCTTTTTTTCTCTCTCTCTCTCTCTTTATCACTTCATGCTGGTCTGTCTGTTAAACTCCACTCCTGTGTGACTTTCAGCTCTGGTTATCTCTCAGTTACCTGTCAATAATTTACTTTATTCTATACAAAGACTAAATAAATCACCTGTAGAGTTAGCTGCATTTTTTAAAAAAAATGTAAAACATTAACTTGGTTGAGAGTATATATTATAAATATTGTTTTTTAAATTGTGACCCAATAATTGACTAAAGAAGTAACAATATAATTATTTTGTGTTTCACGTTCTGACCAGCAGAGGGAAACATTGCCTGTGACAATTTATTGCAAGGCCTCGTCAAAAAGTACTTTGCTAGTATTTAAATATTTATATGAATGATTGTGATCCGTCTCTTCCTTTTTCTTTTCTGTTTCTCTGTACATAAGGCAAGTATGAACATATACTACAGTTTAAATATGGCTAAATACTTCACTCGTTACTCGTGTCTCCTCACCTGTACAGTGTGATGTTATTGTCAATTATGTGAAAGATATAGAGATGTTGTGACATGACACCTAGTTTTATTTTTTATGTAATAGTGAAATTAAGATCAGGTACCACCCCACTGTGCCCCCTGTCTTCCCTCCATAACCATCATTCCTTAATGGTAGAATAGATAATTGTTCAAACTACATTTTTGGAAGGCCCTTAAAAATACTTGAATTCCCATCTGCCCTCAGTTCCAGATATTTTCATGCTGTCCCAAAGCTGAACTGTTTCTCTAGGTTTTTATATTTAGCCTCATGTCATCTTTTAGTCCTGTTTATTTAGAGAAGCAGCCTTCTCTAATCTAATCTTTAGTCTAAACTCAAACTTTCGGTGCTTCTCTGTTCTGCTGCACCAGGTCCTGAGTGAGGCTACAGATGACAACCTGATCGACCTGGGCCCGGGGTCTCCAGCAGTGGTCAGCAACGTGTCCAACACAGGCCCCACCAGTCTGATGGCAGGACCACCGCCATCTCCTGCCAGTCTGGCCTCCCGCCTGGCTGGTCTCGGTAAAAATAGTTGATTCTACAGTATGTTTTAAACAGAGCTTTCACACCAGGGTAGTTCTGGGATTTGGTTTGATTGAGAGGAAAACTATGGTTTGGTTCACTATCACACCTTCAGCAAAAAAACTAACCTTTAGACCTTACAAACGTAGTATGTTCAATGTTCTTACAAACATTTCTCATCTTTTCCAGACGTGGGTTCAGACAGTGTGAGCAGCACGTTGAGTTCTCTGAACACCTGTAAGCCTGCGGCGCCTCCACAGGACGACTTTGATGTCTTCGCCCAGACCAGGACCGGAGTCGTGTCTGAACCACTTAAGACGTAAGAACAGACCTGGAGACCTATGGTCTTTAGTACCAGGAAGCAAAGAAACCTACGCCCTCCTGTGGACAGACTGGGGATGTGTTCTCACTGCTCTTCTCCTTCATTTAATTGTATTATTATTTTTTTAACCTTTGCCCTGATTTTGGCATAAAACCTCATCTGTTGTGTCTCAGTTCCACTGCAGGAGAAAGCAAAGCCAACAGTAGCGCCCCCCCCACCCTGGACGTGCAACAGCCCACAGCAGGAGGGGTGAGTGTCGGTGACAGGTCTCTCATTTTGACCGAAAAAAAAAAATTTAATTAATATGGTCATATATATATATAATTAAATAATATGAAGTCAATTATGCAGATGTTTTCATGTGAAACAAGGAAATTCGTCCTCCACCACAAGGCCACCTCCTCCTCATTCTCCTCTTCCTCCAACCCATTGGTTGGGTTGAAGGTGTTGAATTAGTTGAATAAACTAATTTCCTTTTGTTTTGACAGACACAATGCTCTTTGTCTTTAGTGCTGTGACCAGTGAAGAAAGAGTAACAGAATGCTTAATCACTTAGCAGATTTTCATTATTTATTGACTACAGTTCCTCACATGTTTAACCTAAAAAGGCAGATAGTGTTGATTATCTTTCCTGTGATACTTCACTCACTGACTTTAGACTGTATAATATAATGTAATGTGATATAGACTGTCAGTGATAAACTTCCCTCCATGAATGTCCCAACTTGATTCACATCAACATCATGCTCTTTTTTGATTTTCTTTTTCTTTTCCTTGTTGCCTCAGTTTTTGCTTAAGTGAGTTCATCTAAGTCACATTTTCTGTTTTGTTTGGGGATTTGTTTTTGTTTTTTTTTCCTGTTGTGCCGCGGCCCTGTAGATTGCCGGCGGTCAGTCCTCTGTCATGGATGACATAGAGGAGTGGCTGAGTACTGATGTGGTGAGAACATCATCATTCTTTGGTTTTTGTTTCTGCCTGCACTTTTCTTTACCCCTCTTCAGTTGCACCCATGTAGTTCCTCTGACACAGTAACACACAAATGCATTTCCTCACCCTCTGATCAAAGTCAGTCTGACTTCTACTCCATGTTAAAATGACTAACCAATCACCTGGTCAGGACAGGAACCTGTGAAGTGAGCCTAAGGTTAAGCAGCACTTTTGTGTCATTTTCTGCTCTCTGCTTAAGAAGCAGGAGCGCCAAATAATCAACATCCTGTTTCTCAACCCACGAGGCGCCACTCACTTTATCAGAGAAGAATGTCTGATGTTATAAGAGTCCATAAGTTTAACTCCTCATAGGATTGAAATGCTGAAGTCAGCTTCACTTCTGTAATGTTGGTGATGCCCAGCGTTTTCCTTCATCAATGTGGCAAGACCTGCTGCTCACTTCACTGGTTCTTCCTGATGGTTTGGAGATAATTGGGACAGTGTGGGGGTGGTTTGTATTATTTGACTGCTCAATATTATGATGTGACAATTCTGAGCCAGTTGTTTCTTGATTTGTGTCTGAACTCTGACTGGTGAAAAAGAAACTGGGTTGCTGTTGAATGAGGTTTGAATATGACATTTTGGAGATTTTTCTGGGTTCATGGTTGTGGGCTCTAAAAATGATCAGGCCCCAGACATCACATGTCTTCTTTCCCGTCTATAGAAAGGAGATGAAGGAGAGGAAGGTGTGACAAGTGAAGGTAGGACGGAGCTCAGGCTGGGGTTCAGTTTTACAGCTCCACACTCTCACAGTCTCTTATTTGATCATCCGTTTGCTTCCAGAGTTCGACAAGTTCCTGGAGGAGAGAGCCAAAGCTGCAGAGATGGTCCCCACTCTACCGTCGCCCCCCACTGGTGAACCAGGTGCAGCGCAGGGAACTCCCAGCCGTCAAAAGGCAGACAGGCCGGGGGACAATCTGTTTGCCATGTAGACTGTTTGTTTCTTCTCCACCTCGTCATCATCATCATCATCATCACCACCACCATCACCAGTCTGAGTCAGACTGAGCCGAGGTGTAAACTCATCTTTCTTCAGTTTATTTTACACTACGTCATTCTACACTGTCATTCACACTACCCTTTATTTGAGTGAAAGCCTGTGAGACGACAAACAGAAGAAAAAGACAGAAAAGCAAATACAATTCTGAGATTAGTTCAAGTGTGATTACGATTGATGGTTAAAGTTATGAGATGAAAAATATATAGTTTATCAGATAAACTGATGTGTTAATAACATAATTATGTAAAATCAGGTTACTGTTAGATTTAATAATTGAAAATGAAGAGGTAACTGTCACAGCATTGCTAAAAAGTAGAAATTATAAAATAGATCAAATTCACAATGTCTAATTTAGGATGTGGCATGAACTAGAATTATCAAATGTTAAAAAGTCAAAGTTTAGTTTTTATCTTCTAGTTTCTAGCACATAATTACAAATAATCCTGAGATTTTTTATTCTTTTCGTACTGAACCTGGATGGGTTTTTTTCTAGTATTAAAAATAGAATTAAAGAAACAAATATATGGTTGGTAAGAGAACAAAACAAATGTAGCCTGATTGAGTCGCTGCTCCTCATTCTCAGATAAGAGTTGGTGCTGACGCAAAGGTTTAATCTGGATTCTTTGAGGGTTTGTTTGAAGAACAAACTGAATTGCTGTGTGAACCTGCGCTGTTCTAAGTCAGAGTTCTAACTGTACAGTGTGTAAATGACCAGAGTGTAGACTTTATGAGTTGGTCTGTATATTTAAGCTCCCGTCTGTATAAAAAAGAGATTTTGATTTAATGTAGATTTTTGCATTTGCAGCTGCTTTGAAAATGTACCTCAGAGAGTACTGCGTATAAAACGAAACAAATAACTCTAAATGAATTAACTGAGAAACTAGATGAAGGGAATTCAGTTTTTATTTGTGGTTATGTGCGGTTTGTTTGGTAAGAATCTTTGTTACCAAACCTAATCTGACCACAAATGTTGTAGATTTAACTTTTATCAGATTAAAAAAACATCAGATTTACAAAAAAGATGTTGGCTGACATTGTAGGTTCTGCTGTGTGGCTCAGATGAATGGAGCCTAGTCAATGCTGTAGACGTTTATTTACAGTTGTGTTTTTCTGCAGATGAATGTGTTTGAAAAAAGCAGAAAAGTTTATTTTAAAGCAGAAACAGAAGGTTGTCTTCTCTTAAAAGGGACAGAAGAAGACATAGAAGAAGAAGAAATCATGGATTTAAATGAGAGTAATCTGTAGGGATTATCGCGGCACTACAAACAGTTTGAACATTACTGCGGTGCATTTTTCTTTATCTTCTCTTCTTTTTTTTACTTTCTAAGCACCGACACCGCAAAAGGTCTGACCTTTCAACGCGACATTTGTTGTTTAGAAATGAGCTGGCAGCAGACAACGCTCTGCAAATGAGACATTTTTATTCCACAACAACAACAAGTGCAACACATTACACAATCATTTGATATGATTTCAAGGGGGAAAATGTTCTAGGTAAAGTATTTAGAGCCCTGAGTAAAGATTATAAGAAAGTAATTGAGAAAAGTTCTTACCTTCAGTACCAGTGCATGTACTGATGGAACTGCTGCTGAGTTGAACAGAACAAGCAAACCCTCAGTCTCTGTTGTCTGAATAATCTCCATCTTTACATCACTTTAACCATTTTATGTCCGTTATGACCAAACCTCATTGGAAGAAAATCCTTTTTTTTGTCCTCAGACCAGATTGTTGTTTGGTTTTTGTTGATGTTCTGTACATTTCTGCTGACTGTCCTGCTGCTGAATCTGTCCATGAATCTGTTGAATGATCGTCAGCTGTTTGTAGCTACAACACAATCAAAGCATCAGAAGTTAATGGCGACTTTTCGCTGTTAGACTCACACACGGGTGAATGTGTGGCTAACTCTCCGCAGAGAGATACGGGAAAGGAAAATATTCCTGTGTGTGTTTTGTTTCGCTGTTTGTATTTCTCTCTCTCTCTGTGTTTGTGTTTTCAGCTCTGATGTTTTTTTTTTCTCTGTCGAGACTCTGTCCTCACACAGCCCTGGTTTGATTCCCTACTGTTTGTAGCTGCATCTACAGTCAGCTCTGTGTTTGCTACAGAAGAAGAAGAAGAAACTTCAGCGTTTCTCTGTTGTTTTTTGATTTTATTTTAGTCTACAACGTGCAAAAAGTCAACTCTGCTGTCGCTGCATCATTATTTTCCTCTTTGTGTTGTTTCTTTTTTGACTCCTGCATGAACTTTAATTAAACATAAGCAAGTGTGAAAATGCCACTCCTCCTTATTACACCACCTATACAGTGGTTACGTCAGCTATTATTTTCAAATGATTTATTAGATTTAAACATAACATTATTTTTAACATAATAATTCATTTTTATTTACATTAGACATTCAGAAATAATATTTTATCCCTAATATGTTCTCTCTTTATTGTAATTGTGAAGTGTGCCACACGGTGGATCGTCGTTATGTTGACTTTAGTTTCCAGCCTCATCAGCTCAGGACCAATCAGCTCACAGGATTAATTCAAGGACCTGTCGCATACACACATCACCTGTAGCACATCTGCAACCAATCGCATTGATACACACACACACATACACACAAATGACAGCAAGCATTAGGATTGATCCCAAGGGTCAATTGTTACTGTTACAAAAGAAATAGAAAATAAAAAATGTATTAGACAAATGGAGACATTTTTTGTCATATATAAAATTTAACACTTTAAAAGAAATGGCATTTAATGAATATGTATATAGATATAATTTAATAAAGTTAGTTGCAGATGTTATGTCAAATAATCTGAATTTGAAGAACACTATCCACCACGACACAATCAAAGCATCAGAAGTTAATGGCGACTTTTCGCTGTTAGACTCACACACGGGTGAATGTGTGGCTAACTCTCCGCAGAGAGATACGGGAAAGGAAAATATTCCTGTGTGTGTTTTGTTTCGCTGTTTGTATTTCTCTCTCTCTCTGTGTTTGTGTTTTCAGCTCTGATGTTTTTTTTTTCTCTGTCGAGACTCTGTCCTCACACAGCCCTGGTTTGATTCCCTACTGTTTGTAGCTGCATCTACAGTCAGCTCTGTGTTTGCTACAGAAGAAGAAGAAGAAACTTCAGCGTTTCTCTGTTGTTTTTTGATTTTATTTTAGTCTACAACGTGCAAAAAGTCAACTCTGCTGTCGCTGCATCATTATTTTCCTCTTTGTGTTGTTTCTTTTTTGACTCCTGCATGAACTTTAATTAAACATAAGCAAGTGTGAAAATGCCACTCCTCCTTATTACACCACCTATACAGTGGTTACGTCAGCTATTATTTTCAAATGATTTATTAGATTTAAACATAACATTATTTTTAACATAATAATTCATTTTTATTTACATTAGACATTCAGAAATAATATTTTATCCCTAATATGTTCTCTCTTTATTGTAATTGTGAAGTGTGCCACACGGTGGATCGTCGTTATGTTGACTTTAGTTTCCAGCCTCATCAGCTCAGGACCAATCAGCTCACAGGATTAATTCAAGGACCTGTCGCATACACACATCACCTGTAGCACATCTGCAACCAATCGCATTGATACACACACACACATACACACAAATGACAGCAAGCATTAGGATTGATCCCAAGGGTCAATTGTTACTGTTACAAAAGAAATAGAAAATAAAAAATGTATTAGACAAATGGAGACATTTTTTGTCATATATAAAATTTAACACTTTAAAAGAAATGGCATTTAATGAATATGTATATAGATATAATTTAATAAAGTTAGTTGCAAATGTTATGTCAAATAATCTGAATTTGAAGAACACTATCCACCACGAGGCCTCCTCCTCCTGATCCTCCTCCTCTTATTTCTCCTCCTCCTCTTTTACCTCACTCCTGCACATTCCAGCTCCTGGACTTTCTCTTCAGATGTTAATCACACAGTTTGACCTACAGTAACCTCCTTTCATTCTACTGTAGCCCCTTTCCTCCTCGTTTCCCTCTCTCTCTCCCTCTCTCTCTCTCTCTCTGGAGGCCCCTACTCAGGCCCCACACTCAGGGGCTTCCCCATTGGTCGCTGGGAATCGCCTCATCCCGCAGCGTGGCCCCTCGCATTCTGCTTCAGTCACTGGAGCGTTTTCCCGGTCATAAAAGAAAGAGGGGTGTGTCCAGACCCTCCCTCTGTGGACTGGACCGGACTGGACCCCAGAACTGCAGCAGGAGTAGAAGGAGGACCTGGTCTGGTCTGACTCAACATGGACCACATGGGACTGACTGAACATCCTGATTTGACGTCAAAGGTCAGTGCACATTTGAAACAGTTTGAAGTTTGAACAGTGAAGGAACTCAATGCTTTTATGGAGGATTTTTTTTATACAAAAACAAAATTGGCACCTTTATGGAAAATAGGCCGTATATTTATCTGTTGGCAGGTTTTTAAACTGTGATGTGGTGAAACAGATGAACACATTTTTTAATTTTTTTAATTTCAAACATAATGTAATGTGACTAAATCCTCAGAAGCCTTTCTCCTGCAGATTCCTGAGTCTGTGTTGGAAGAAGAACAGACACACGGAGGATCCACGTTTCCTGACTGATGCTGAAGGGACAGAGAGACAAAGAGGTGAGGCGGGACTGGTGTTACGCTCCAGGACTATGTAGAACTAAATACAGTGTGATGAAGAACAAGAAACTGCAGTTTTTCAAGATACCAATCCTTCAAATTCAACAAGAATCACCACAGAAACCTGATCCTGGATCGGCCGTCAACCACACGTGCATCCATGAGGAAAGTGATGTTGGTCAGTGCTGTTGTGCATTGTAGTTGCATTGCATGTCAGAATAGCTCAGTGCAATGGATCTGCTGTGCAACACAGACCTCGACCTCTTGACCTCTCAGTGTTAACCAGCAGGAGGGAAATCATGTTTATTGTTGAAACAGTTGAATTAATAATAATTATATGTTTGATTAAAAATAATTATTTGTTTAAAACCTCAACTCTACAGGTTGCTCGGAGTGTAATACTGTGTTTGAAGTGTTTTGATATGTAATTTGGAATAAAGATTTGTTGTGTTTATCCCAGACTGGTTCAAACAGTTTTCTGGTGAATTTCTTCTCTGGTATTTTAACTTCTGAAAGTTCCGTTAATAACTTCTCATTATTAACGGCCTGTTTTCCATTTTCTTTCAGAAAAAAAAAAAGTTTGATTTTATCCCGCGTTCCCGTTCTTGTTCCTGGGAGGGATACAGCTCCATCCCTCCGTCCTGTCTTCTCTCCGTCCACCCGTCCAAATGTAAACATGTCCTCCAACTTGCATTGATTGACATGCTGTGTTGATTTTCTCATTACTGACACACACACACACTGGAAGCCATTTAAAGTAATGGTATATTCCAGCAGTGTTCACGAGAGCAGGGGCTTCACCTGCAGCTGCTCCGGCACCACATGTCAAAGCTGAGAGTCAGATGTTTGTTCAAGTCCTGATTTAATTTCACTGATCAGCTCACAGACGTCTGACAGATCGTCTGGAAAAAAAAAGCAGAAACCAGTTCAAACCAGCACAAGTTATTTCAATGACGTCACGGTCAGGCCGGCAGCCCACAGTTGGACAACAGATATGAACAAAATAGGTTTATCTGGTCTAATATTGGGCCAGAACCACATGTGGGCCAAAAATGCCTGGGTTTTTGTTTTGTACGTAGCCACAGTATTCACAGAACCCATGTGACCCATTCCAGGACCAGAACTGTTTGTTCTACGTGGGTATTTACCCCGCCTACAGCCCAAGGTCAGTCGTAGTCACAAAACAAGCAGCTGTAGATTAAATGACCTATTTGTGTTTATGATTTATATTATATGAAGGTTGCAGATCACTGATTTCGCACAATTCCCTCTTCCATCACCTGCACTGATGCTGTTTTTGTTTTCGCCCCTGAGCTGCTCATTTGAACTGCTGGTGTGTGCGGCATAATGAAACTAAAACAAATCAGATGAAGTCAGATGAAATGTGACTGCGTGTTTTTAATAATTACATGTTGAAGACGGTGGTGGAGAGAAGCATTAGAGGAATTTAATGGGTTTCAATGGAGGCCGTTCAACAGGACACTGTGCCAGTAGCTACAACTGGGAGAAGGAAGAGACTCCACCTTTCTGTTCAACTGCCATTCAGAAAATTAAACCTACAGCACAGCAAATTCCCAGTCATGGGAAAGTTTAGGACTGGGTCACATCCTGCTTCTTTTAATAGTGGACTTTGTCCTTTTTTCTGTGATTTGTACACAATGAAAAATGTAGCCCACAGTTTCAAACATGACATGCTCTGACCAGTGGCCTGTTTGCTGTAAGGCAAGATCACTAACCACTTGTCCACAACGTGCTCCTCCCCTCATTAAATAAAAACCCAATTAGTTTTTTTGAAAATAATTTTTGAATAATTCACCTATCCATGTATGTTTTTACCTGAAGAACCCCCCCAACACACACACATACACACTCCATGACCAGAGATCAAACCAGTGACATGTGACCCCCCTGCTGTAAGGCAGTGGTACTAACCCCTCGTCCACTCTATAATAATGTTGTTATTTTAACCAGTAAAGTCCTTTTATTCCACTCCCACCCTCTGCCTACATTTTGCAAATTTTCCCACTGACCTTTCGGAAAGCTGATTGACTGACACTTAAATTCTAATCCAGTCAGTCCTTGTTACAACATTTACACACCTACAAAAAGGGAGGGACGCCCGACGCTGCCCAACGTTTCCCAACATTTCCTCCCTGTACAACAACAGAGATCAATCATGGTTCCGCTGAAGGGACATTTTTCAATTTAACCTTTATATTATGTCTTGACTACATCAGAGGAGTTTCGACACACTTAACATGAGTGGCATTTAATATAGCATAACACTTGCAAGGTGAGGCCGGAATGTGACCCTATTTAAATATAGATGGGAGGGGGCCTGCCTATGAGGCTGAGAGGCAGCTGCAGCGCCGCACCTCCCCCTACACATACACACAATTATAATTAAACACACCTTATGCCTCCTTTGCAAATGCCCCTCATCGATCTGCAGGTTTTTAACATTCATGTGTGAACTGCCCCGCAGCAAACGCAGTCTACGTTTATGGATCAGCAAGTTTCCATTAACAAAGTTGTTGATGTTGAATAGCAGCGATGCTGCTGCTACTGCTGCTGCTGCTGCTGCTGCTGCTGCCAGCTCCACCATGCTGTGGATATATTTGGGTAAATTAACTCTGCATAAAGTACTGTGAGGCTTCAGGCTCTTTGGAGGCAGCTACAGAGAAGGCCAAAAGAAAACAACGGTGACGGCTCCTAAACAAAACAGTAGCTACACGTCTGCGTCAGAAAAAAAAAAAGAGCTTCCAAGTTAAAAATCTCACAACAGACGATGGTGAAATGCTCCTGGAACACCCGTGTGGAAATGCATGTGGAAATCCTCTGTCTTTATTATGTTATTGTTAACATTATTCCTCTAAATAACTGCAAGTGAGTTCATTAATGATAGCTGAACCATATAAAATGCTATTATTGGTTTAGTATACTATGTGCAGGGGGAAACAGCTGTAAAGAAGCTAGCTAAAATTAAGTTACTGTAAAGCTAAATTTCAGATGAAAATGATCTAAAGTAAGACAAAGTAGCTAAAAAAATAGTTTGATAGAAAGAACGAGTTCTATGTCACAAAGCTTAGGCTAAGCTAAAAGTAAAACATTCATTTGAGGAAAATAATAATTTTGTGTATTTTGGGGAGAACTGACTCAATAAGTTCAAAATATGTTCAAACAATAATCTCAAATTTCCAATATTTTTAAAGACAACATGTTTGGCTACTGCTGCTGCTACTGCTGCTGCTGCTGCTGCTGCCAGCTCCACCATGCTGTGGATATATTTGGGTAAATTAACTCTGCATAAAGTACTGTGAGGCTTCAGGCTCTTTGGAGGCAGCTACAGAGAAGGCCAAAAGAAAACAACGGTGACGGCTCCTAAACAAAACAGTAGCTACACGTCTGCGTCAGAAAAAAAAAAAGAGCTTCCAAGTTAAAAATCTCACAACAGACGATGGTGAAATGCTCCTGGAACACCCGTGTGGAAATGCATGTGGAAATCCTCTGTCTTTATTATGTTATTGTTAACATTATTCCTCTAAATAACTGCAAGTGAGTTCATTAATGATAGCTGAACCATATAAAATGCTATTATTGGTTTAGTATACTATGTGCAGGGGGAAACAGCTGTAAAGAAGCTAGCTAAAATTAAGTTACTGTAAAGCTAAATTTCAGATGAAAATGATCTAAAGTAAGACAAAGTAGCTAAAAAAATAGTTTGATAGAAAGAACGAGTTCTATGTCACAAAGCTTAGGCTAAGCTAAAAGTAAAACATTCATTTGAGGAAAATAATAATTTTGTGTATTTTGGGGAGAACTGACTCAATAAGTTCAAAATATGTTCAAACAATAATCTCAAATTTCCAATATTTTTAAAGACAACATGTTTGTATTTCTCACAGCTTCTGTTTACATGTTTATAATGAAACAATGTCGCTGTCATCACTGCAGACACACACGTCACAAACAGCACAATGACAACATGAACACTGTACTGTCACTTTATAGATACTGTTAAGCATTGTTTTTTTGTTCTTTTCTTCTTTTTTAAAGTGACTTAAACTCCTTCAGTCTGTTATTCCATCTCTCCTCAGACACTTCTCACAGAGTCCAGAAGTGCAGGTTCAGGTGTGGTGACTCCAGGACATGTATGGGTGGCGCTGTAGGTCCAATATGTGGCGACCTGAAGCCAGTCAGAGGCGGGTCTGGTGTGGACAGGATGTAGTCAATGCTAAACTTGATCTCAGACTCTGGTTTCCCCTGCTGAGGAGGGTTTGGTTGGAGCAGGTGGTGGTGGTGGGGGTGACTCTGCTGTGGACCGGGCCGGGGTCTGTCAGGGTTCAGAGGGCACAGGGTGGACTCAGATTCTGGGTGACAGGTTGTAGGAGCGTGTCGATTGGCGTTGCTTTCCAGAGCGTGGAACGGTGTCTCTGCTGAGTCTCGGAGACTGATTTTCATGTTCCTCCTGCGTCGGCGTCGCCGGAAGTTTCCGTTTTCAAACAGGTCGAGCATTGATTCACAGCCAGTGGCAAAAGTCCAGAAGTTTCCTTTTCCCTTCTCATTACCTTCTGTCCTTGGAACCTGGGAATAATGTTGAAATTAGAAAATATACAGGATTGTGTACAAAATATTGAGAAGGTTACATTGTCTAATGGAAGTAGTAGGACTGTCAGTTGACTATAATATATATAATTAATCAGAATTCATACTTAACAATTGTCCTTGTCTATAGTAAACTCACAGATAAGTGTAAATTAATCTCACATTTTCTATCCTTTCCACATGTACCTGAAGAAATATATATATATAAATAATATATATATATATATTTAATCCCCTTATTTACTTTTTTTTTCAACAAATTTTATTGTCATGTCAACATTTCAAAACATGCAAAAATATAGTACAGAATATTCTTCACAATAATCTCATTAAAGTGAGTCAAAAATATTGCAGTAAATTGGGATTCCATCATTTCCCATAATGCTTTGTGGTTCGTTAAAAATGTTGAAACATGGATTACAGTCGGTTTCTAATTTTTTAATTTCTATGGTTTCATAGTGTAGCGGTTAGCGTGTTTGCTTTGAAAGCAAAGAGTCATGGGTTCGTATCCCAGATGAACAACATACTTGGCAGCTGCCTGTTGTAGCAGCTCTGCTATTCTCGAAGTTCCCAAATATGGGACCAATAGAGTTTATTATTATTATTATTAGACTCCAATGTATGAAAAGGAGCAGTACCACGTGCTATCGTGGGGGCAGTGTTGCGCAGTATATTTAATGTGCGTGCATAAGAGTAGCAGTAAGGAAGAAGACAACGACAGAAATAGTCGAACAGAGAGAATAATTTTCCGTCCATATCCTGTAATTCCCAGCTTTGTCTCTGTTTTGACTCTTTCGAAGCAGGAAGTTTATCGCCACATTCCTTCCGCTTTATTATTTTCTGAGAAACGTCGGGTTCGTAACTGAACTAATCACTGCTTCATTGGAGTTCTCCTACTGTAACAACCATTCTAAACAAAACGCACATTGGGAATTTTGTGTACAGTGAACGTGACGTTTGTATTTTCGTAGTATATTCGTACGTGAAGGGAGGAAAAAAAACGAGACTATAATGGTTAACACAGTTCAGGTGTCATTTCAGTGACGTCATTTCCCGGCATGCCCCGGTGCGGCCGCGTGTGTACCTTGATGAAGCAGCTGTTGAGAGACAGGTTGTGTCTTATGGAGTTCTGCCAGGCTCTCTGGTTGGAGCGATAGTAAGGAAACCTCTTCATGATGAACTCGTAGATCCCAGAAAGAGTCACCCGCTGATCTGGACTCTGCTGGATGGCCATGGCTATCAGAGCGATGTAACTGACACACACACACACACACACAGATTCTTCAAGTTCTAATTTGACCGTACGCACTGATCGGTAATATGTGTATTTTCCCTTTAATTTTTATCTTAATTGTACTAAAAAATATAGAATATATGTCGTAAACTCAAACTCAATTTGATGAAGACTCTGAAAATGTGAAGAAAAGTCGTTTTTGCACAGAATAATTTTACACAATAAGATTTGTCATTTATACAATTAATTGTACAATAACATATAAAAGTATATATTTGATTAATTTAACATATAAACAGCGAGGATTAATAATAAACAAAAAGTTTTCTGTTAATAAAGTCACCAATAAATATAATACATTCATTAGATCACATTATTAAGCAGACATTAAAGTGATGTATTAAAATGATACAATTATAATACATTTACAACAAAACTAATTTCTAAAGTAATACAGAATGTATGTGAATTACAACATGAAATAAACTGTCAATTAAAATAAAATAAAATTCCTGTTAAAATTATGTTTAAAACAATAGTAGAAAAAATTAAAGAAATTAGAAAATTACAGAAAATTACAAAAGACATTGAGTTTGAGTTTGGAAATGTTCCATTTCCTTCTTTGGGTTAAGTTATTCACCTTTTCCAGTGATAAGGAAATATATATTTTTAAAATTTATATTAATATAGGAGATATATACTTTTTAATTGTGATTTTTTAGCATGATAAAAAACATGTAAAATTAGTTGTTGCTGTAATTATTTATATATTTAAAACATGAAAATATTTAATTTTGGTGAAATAAAAAGGAAAATATAACACAAAAATCTGACATTGTGACTAAAACTGTCAGAATTATGTAAATCAGACTACATTAAATATTTGTTTTTGTATCAATCAATTATGTATTGATGACCATGAGTGGATACGTTACTATCAAATATTATTATAAAAAAATAAGAATAATTATACATTTCAATAAACATTTTGTTTCTTTTTTCAGAAAAAAAAAATGTAATAGTTCATTTTGTAAAACTCTGGAGAAACATTCTTCTCCTCAGCCGTTAGCTTCTCTTCCACAGGTTTTGAAATATTTGTACATTTTCAAATTTTAAGTCATAAAAATGTAAACAGATAATTAGAAATGCACTATAAAATATACCATAAAATATTTTGATACAAGTTTATTATTATTTATAGTTATAGTTATTATAGTTTTATTATTTTTGGATCCAAGTTTGTTACTAGAAAATCCTCACACTGTTAAAAACAGAGTGAGAAATAATAATGTTGTATATATCAATAATAGGAATAAAAAAAAATAGAAAATCAACTTTAAAACTGTCCGTCTCACCTGTAGGCAGGTCTGCACATCTTCTTGTCGTCGTCGGTGCTGGATGAAGGATAACCGTCTCCATCGTAGTTGAAGCAGTTGAAGGGATAGTGAGCGTTGTCAAACATGTCTGCTCTTGGAGGACACTCATGTATTTACTGGACTGAATGTTGTGTACGTCTCCTCCGTGGCCTGGTGCGGCAGCAGCAGCAGAAACTCCTGCTGTGTGTCCTGCTGCTCTGCTCTGCCTCCATGCTCTGCTCAGATGACTCTCACTGGGCGCTGAGCTGGTGATGATGAAGGTGGTGATGAAGACGGAAGCTCCTCCTCCTGTCCCGGCTGCTCTCCAGGAAGTGTCTGGAGGTCTCCACGGTCTGGAGGAACACCTCCCTGCTTCAGTCATTTGTGAACCACAGCCCTGGTCCGTGCACGTTTGGGATTTTGTCTGATTCAACATCTTATCTGGTGACGGTCATGTCCATGTCACTTTAATGTTCTTGACCTTTGACCTGGTTCTGAGAAAAAGACTTGCATGTATTTTCACCATTTGGTAGGTCGTGTTCCTGTCCATCCAGTCTACACTGTGGCAAAAGAAAAAAACAACACATATAAATATATACACCACACCATCTATATACTGTAGGTATGGGCTTGTTGTAATGTTCCACACATCTTAGTAGTAGTGGGTTGGTTTCCACACTAACTTGTGTGTTGGCAGACAGTGACACCTGCATTATGAAGTACTTTGTATGGTCACATCAGTACAGACTATTACACTTTACAGTATGTTAACTGTCTTTTTTTAAATAACTGTAGCTACAGTATTAATGATGGACTTACACATATTGAACTTTCTTGGGTTAAACGTGTGTAAAGAATCGTCAGGAGAGCAGACTCCACCCAGAGATCCACCAAGGTTAGTTAGTGGCAGAGTAAAATATCTATTAGTAACATTTATGATCTTTTTAAATCCCTTCATCCTTATTAAGGAGGATAAGAATAATGGTTGTCATAGAGACGGTCACCTGTACTTTACACATTTTTACGCAATTTTTTTTCTGTTTTTTTTTAAATAAGTTTTATGTGCATTTGAGCTGGACAAACTCCTCCTCCTCGTCCTCCTCCTGCTCCTGCCGTAGGATGTTCTGGGTGGTCTGCTGCATTCAAAGACCTCCTTAATGTTTTATTTTGCTTCTTTTTTAATGGCCTAATCATTGTAACTGTACTTAAAACAGCCGACCCCCAAACCAACAAACAAGATCCTTTTCCATCTTTATTTTCTTTTTCTCTTTGTCAGTGTGTGTGTGTGTGTGTCTGCGTGTGCGTGTGTCCACTCCGGCAGACATTTAGTCAACAACGGGAAGTTTTGTAGATTTTATCTAAAATGCTCTTTAATGGCCATAAATTGTTTCCGTGTCTATAAAACAGGGGGTGTGTGTCTTTTAAAGGGATCTTTACAGGGCACTTGAAGGTCTCCCGTGAGGCGACAGAGGCCGGGAAAACAGCCCCCAGCCGTGACAGGACTCTGTGGGTGGCCCTGCTGCTGCTGCCGATGCCGCTGCAGCTGCCGCCGGTGTGGCGGAG